GGGGGGGGGCCGGGGTGGGGGGTGGAGGGGCTGCCGGGTTGGGACTGGCACTGTTTCTGCTCTGCAGAGGGCCAGGTGGCAGTGCCGGGCCATTCTCCGTGGGGAGCAGGGCCACCCCTGGGGCCGCTTTGGGGCAGCCCTGACCGCCATGGGGGACGTGAATGGGGACAAGCTGACGGACGTGGCCATCGGGGCCCCTGGGGAAGACGAGAACCAGGGTGCCGTGTACCTGTTCCACGGAGCCTCGGGGCCGGGCCTCAGCCCCTCCCACAGCCAGGTGAGGCCCGTTACAGATCCTGTCACTCCGACCGCCTTCTCCTTGCTCCTCCCTGTCTTCCACGCTGCCACCTGGAAAAGTCTGTCACCACCTCTGCCCTCCTCTGCCCACCAAGGGCGTCTCTAGGCAGCGAACAAAACCTGTGGGACGTGAGAAATGGAAACGTCCGATGGAGACTTGGTACTTGGGTGGGTTCTCCACCCAGGACTTTTAATCCCCCGGCGGCTTCACGGGCGGCCCAGGCCCCGTCAGCCGCCCTGTTAGAGATGAGGTCTGGGGTCTGGAGGGGTCAGTGAGCTGGCTGGTCCCAGTGGGTAGTGGATCAGGAGCGGTGATGAGGGCCGTCAGGTCTCCTGCTTCTCACCATTGCCCGGTCCCTTGGGGCCCCGCTGCCGGTCACTTTGGGCCTGGCTGCTCAGCCTGTCCACGCACCCCTTCATCTCCCTGGAGGCCACACGACTTCTTTCCCTGCTGCCATGAGTAATCCTGCCCGATGCCTGTCCAGACAGGAGCCCCCACCCAGGGGGTCAGGGCTCCCTCAGAAAGGGGGCTGCTTCCCTGGCAAAGTCAAGGAAGCCCCAATAAAAACAGGCCGAAGGGCCAGGAGACACTTCTCCAAAGATCATCTACGGAGGACCTGCAGGCACATGAAAAGGTATTGATCATTCATCATCGGTCATCAGCAAATTCAAACCACAGTGAGACACCAGTTCACACCCACGGGGGCCGGGGGGGGGGGGGGGGGCGAGAATAGAGAGACGGGAAACAGCAAGTGTGGGCCGGATGCGAAGGCTCGTGTACCGTGTACCGCGGGGGATGGGACCCGGTGCAGCCTGGCAGGTCCTGAAGGGTGCAGCAGAAGGTACTGTATGACCCAGCGACTCTGCCCAGGAGAACGGAAAACACGTTTACACAAACAGTTACAACAAATGCTCATATAGCATGATTCACAATTACCCAAAGGCGAAACAGCCCACATGCTCATCGACGAATGAGCAGATAGACAAATGGGTGTGGTCATGCAGTGGAATAGTATTCAGCCGTATGCAGGAGCGAGGGACTGACACATATACAATATGAATGATCTTGAAAACATTATGCTGAGTGAAAGAAGCCCACACAAAGCCCACCTAGAGTCTGGTTCCATTTATATTAGCTCCAGAACGCGGTGGGGTAGGGTGCGGGTCGGGGGTGGGGCGTCCACAGAGACCGAACGTAGGTTGCTGTCAGGGGCTGGGGAGGGAAATGAGGGACTTAGGGGTGACTGCTCAGGCATATGGCTTCTTTTTGGGGTGGAGAAAATGTTCTAAAGTTGATTTGTTGGTGGTCACATAACTCTGTGAACAGCCTAAGAACATGGAGCTGTGTACTTTACAAGGGTGAATTGCACGGTGTGTGAATTGTGTCTCAGGGATGTGGTCGTGGTCACGGCTCACCTGTCTGTGCTGAGATCCTCAGCTGTCCACGGTGCGACAAGAAGCCAGCCCGCGCAGGCCGCTGCCGTGAGGGTTACATCAGTTAGTACATAGGTGGCACGTAGCACGTCTATGGCAGACATATGCAGATGTGCCTGGCACACAGTAGGTGCTACGTTATCATCAATTACTGTGGGTACAGTTTAGCAACAGAAGGGGTTTCAAAGAGCTTGGAACTTTAAGAAGAGGGCGGCCCCCTGTGGCCCCGAAGCTCCTTTCTTTTGCTCTAGGCATCGTGGCTTTGTAGGCCCTTCATGGTGACATCTTTTCACGCCTCACCCCTTCTGTCTCACCTTCCTCCCTCCCCCTTCCTCCTGTGGCTGATTCCAACTCATTTTTCTCACCCCAAACTGGCTTGCCGGTCCCTCTCGCCAGAGGATCAGAGGCTCCCAGCTCTCCCCCGGGCTCCAGCACTTTGGACAGTCGCTGAGCGGGGGCCAGGACCTCACCCTGGATGGCCTTGTGGACCTGGCTGTGGGGGCCCAGGGACACGCACTGCTGCTCAGGTGAGAGCAGCCTTCCCCAGTCACTCCCCAGATGGTCCCTAGGTGTACCCAGGACACCCGTCCCCTCACCCACCCCAGGGGGCCTTCCCGGGACCAAAGGCTGGCATTCTGCCCACAGGACCAGACCTGTGCTCAGGGTGTGGGTGGATATCCGCATAACACCTGCAGAGATTGCTAGGTCTGTGTTCGAGTGTCGGGAGAACACAGCCTCCATCCGGGACCTGGGTGATGCCACAGTCTGCCTTCGTGTCCATGAAAGTCCCAGGACCCGGCTGGGTGAGTCCTCTCTGGCCCAGACTCCCGTCTCCGGCCTGGCCCCTTGCCCCCTGGGGAGTTCCTGGTTCTCTCAGCCTTCCCCACCCTCTACTTCCCCCTCTAGGTAACCTCCAAAGTGATGTGACCTTTGACCTGACCCTTGACCCTGGCCACCTGAGTCCCCGAGCCATCTTCAAGGAGACGAACACTCGGCATCTGAGCCGCGTCAGAGTCCTCGGTCTGAGACAGCACTGCGAGGACGTGAAGCTGCTGCTCCCTGTGAGGGTCCCGGGCGCTGGGGACGGGGCACTGCTGAGGCTGTGAGGGTCTCGGGGCGCTGGGGACAGGCGCTGCTGAGGCGGTGAGGGTCCCCGGGAGCTGGGGACGGGGCGCTGCTGCTCCTGGTGAGGGTCCTGGGCGCTGGGGACGGGCGCTGCTGAGGCTGGCGGCGGCTGGGCAGGGAAAGGACCAGGTGTGTTCTGGTCCTGGCACTAGCTCGGCCCAGCAGGTCACCTCACATGCAGGAGGAGCTCACCATTTGTTAGCCAGATAAGTGAGTGGGTTCGTGGCTGAGTGAGTGAATGAATGGAGGGCTGGGCTGCAGCTGCCAGAAATTGCACAGCTGGATTGCAGAGCAGCACATGGCTGCGTCAGAGAGCTGGAGCGGTGGGCCGGGGTTCTTGCATCAAGCCGTTCCTCTGAGACAGACCCTGTCCTAGGTGCCAGGGACACCACCTGGACAACAGAGTCCACGCCCAGAGGACGTGCAGGGCAAGAGCAAAAGCAATCAGGTTCCTAGATAACAGGGTCAGGTAGTGATGAACGCTGTGACGAAGCCAGGGAGAGAGCAGAGGATCCAGGCCTCTTCGAGCAGGCCTCACTGTCACCCCATCTCAGGGATGAGGAGACGGGGCACAGCTAGTGATGGTGAGGTGCTGTCCTGAGCCTCCTGCTCTCCCCCATGGCCACCCTGTAGGCTTGTGTGGAGGACGCGATGATCCCCATCACCTTGAGTCTCAATTTCTCCCTGGTGGGCCAGCCCATCCCTTCCTTTGGGAACCTCCAGCCTATTCTGGCTCCGGACACCCGCAGACACTTCACGACCTCTGTGAGTCCTAGGGTTGGGATCTTCGGGGGGCAGTGGGGTATGGGCTCCAGGCTTTGGAGAAACCCTGCATTGCCTTCCCTCTCAGCTCCCCTTTGAGAAGAACTGTGGGGATGACCATGTCTGCCAGGATGACCTTGGCATCACCGTTGACGCCTCTGGGTGAGCTTCCACCTCCTGAGACCTGCCCTGGTCTCCCAGCCCCTCTCCTGGGACCTAGAGCTGCTGTCTGGCTCTCCCTACCATCTCCATCCTGTGCTCAGAAACCAGACATCCCAGGCCCCGGGGACCCCACCTCTCCACTCTGGGTTTCGTCCCCAGACCATTTCTAGCCTTGGTCATAGGCTCATCTCCTGCCCTCCACCCCACCCCCACCCCCAGCTTGGAGACCCTGGTGGTGGGGAACACCCTGGAGCTGAACATGGGAGTGAAAGTGTGGAATGAGGGCGAGGACTCCTATGGGACCACGGTCACCTTCTCCTACCCGCCAGGCCTGTCCTACCGGCGGGCGACAGTGACCCAGGTATCATTCCTTCTGGGGAGGCAGCCAATGGCTGGGGGTCAGCAGAGACTCCTGTTCAAAGCTCAGGCTGGGGCCGCCGTTGCTCAGAGCCTCTCAGAAGCCCAGGGATCCGGGCTGGTGCTGGTTGGAGAGACACGGTTGTGCCAGCGGGGGCTTGCTCATGCTGTGCTCAACTCCGGGCATCGCGTTTTAAGGACACTGACTGTTAGGAATGCGTGCCCAGCAGGCTGCTGATGTGGAGAGAGGGGGCACGCTGCCCTAAACGTTTTTGTATTCCACAGCATGTCAACATTCTTCTTTTAAAGGAAGACCTACCTCAACCTTCAAATATTTTAAACACTGTCTTGTAGAAGCAGGGGTTAACTTTATTGGTTGCTCTAGATCAGATCATGGCCTGCGTTTTCTCTGGAGAGCTGGAAAATAAGTATTTCAGCTTTGTGGGCCGTAGAGCACCTGTCACATCCGCTGAGCTCTGCTGGTGTGGAGTGAAAGCAGCCATTGGTGAGACCTACGTGAAGGAGCACCAATAAAGCTCCCTCTGTGAAAAGTGGTGTTGGGCTATCGTTTGGCAAGACCTGCTCTGGAAGGTGGAGCTAGGACCAAAGCGAAACAGATTTTCAACAAAAATTTTACGAAAAATGCTAAACGTTTATAAAAGTAGAGAGCAGATCAACAAACCTCTCAAAAACATATCACCCAGATTCAATAAATATCAACATTTTGCTATATTTATTTCATCTGGCTCCCTGCTCCACTTGCTGAATATTTTAAGAAAATCCCAGACATGTCACTCCTCTCTCTTCCCCCCTATAGTTCTGCACTGTCCCCACATCCCACATGACCCAATACCATTATTGCATTCAGTGAAACCAGTGATTCATAATAGAATTTCCTTAATTGGCTCAAAACTATCTTTTTATACCTGATTTGTCCGAACCAGCATCTAAGCTAGGTCTATATATTGCATTTGGCTGGTTGGTCTCTTACGTCTCTCTTAGGCTAGTACTCCCAATGGGGTCATAGTTTGGTTAACATTCAAAGGAACACACTAGAAATGGCAAGATCCGGCTGCCCAGGGGTGAGTGCCCGTCACTGGAAGTCCTTCTGGACACACCAACCAAATGCAGCATGCGGACCTTTGTTGGGTATTTGTTTTTAAAATGAGCCATAAAATAGCATCTTTGGAGGCAACCTAGGAAGTCTGCGCATGCCCTGCCTACTGGCCGACATTACGGAGTTGTTGCTTATTTTGCCGGGCGTGAGTTGTTGTCTTGCGGTTGGTGGTATATATTGAAGTATTTCTGGATGAAACAATGTGATATTCGGAATGTGCTTTCAATTCCTCCAAAAAAAGGTGGAGAAGGAGCTGAATAAAACAAAAGTAGAAAAAATGTTGGCAATTGAAGCTGAGTGATGGGTATATGGGGCTTGATTTATCTAGTCTCTCTACTTTTGAGTAAGTTTGAACATTTCCATAACAGAAAGCCCTTTTAAAATAACAATAAATAAAAAGGGGGAGAACTTTAATAAATCTGAGATTTCTACATTAGGAAGAAATTTGACCAGATAGTGTCTAAGGATTTTTTAAAAACAAAACATAATCTTAGGGTAGATTCCAGAAAACTGTCACTCCGTCATGGAGTCTCTTTGGGACATGCTCTAATGAGCGCCCCCTGCCCTTGTCCCTGCCCGTGCCCCTGCCCTCGCCCCTGCCCTTGCTTAGAGCCGGCCGCCATCACGCTCCCTGCAGCTGGCCTGCGACAGCGGGAGCCAGGACGCCTGGAGCACCCGCTGCAGCCTCAAGCACATCATCTTCCGCGAGGGCGCTCAGGTCTGTCTCCCACTCCCCTGCCCCCACCCAGTCTCAGTGTCCGTGACCTCCGCCTCCAACCCCATGCCTGCCTCTCCCTCAGGTCACCTTCGTGGCCACCTTTGACGTCTCCCCCAAGGCCATTCTGGGAGACCGGCTGCTTCTAATGGCCAATGTGAGCAGGTGAGCAGGGCCAGGCACAGGTCCGCGCCCCCTCGCGCCCCACCTCCTCGTCAGGAGCACCCGCCAATGCTGCTCCTCTTCCTCCAGCGAGAACAACTCCCCCAGGACCAGCAGGACCACCTCCCGGCTGGAGCTGCCCGTGAAGTACTCCGTCTACATCGTGGTCAGCAGGTGCCGCTCCAGGACCTGAGCAGGGTCCCTCCCATCACTCTGACGGGGCTGGGGGTTCTCAGTCCCTGCAGCCTGAACCCCTGGGATATTTGGGTTCTCCCACTACCCTCTCCCACTACCCTCTCCCACTACCCTCTCCCACTACCCTTCTCCCACTACCCTTCCAGTCCTTAGCTGGCAACTGCTGGTAGCACTTGCTCCTCAATCCTGCGTGTTTATGGTGGGCTGGCTCTGACAGCAGTAAGTGTGGCGTTACCATTGCTCACACGCTGCATTTAATAGAGGTTCTAGTTCTCAGGCTTTCTCCAAAGCCCCAAGATTGTCCTGGGTTCCGTAAGAGATGTGAGAGACATCGCTGTCTTCCAGGTCCTCACAGTCTCACTGGGAGAGAGGTTACCCTGACCTAAAGCAGAGTCTTACCAAGGGCCTCTCTGTGGTCCTGGGGCCTGAGGCTTTGTGAGCTTCTAGGAGGGGGTAGGGGCTCCTGTCAGGGAAGGCCTCAACTCAACATTGCAGGGGCCTGCGGCATTGGCCGTGGCCCTTGGCATTTGGGTGCGACAGTTCTCATCACAAGGAACAGATTTACACCTTGAAGCGCTGTTAGAACCACTCCTCCTCCCTTCCCCTTGGGAAGGATAGGGACAAACACCCTGCCTGCTCCCGGGCGTGGCGGCGGGGGGGGGAGGGGGCATCAGGGAAAAGCTACAGATGCTGCCCAAGGAGGGGCGGATGATGAGGGGTAGGTCCCGCCCAAGGAGGGGTCGATGATGAGGGGTAGGTCCCGCCCAAGGAGGGGTCGATGATGAGGGGTAGGTCCCGCCCAAGGAGGGGTCGATGATGAGGGGTAGGTCCCGCCCAAGGAGGGGTCGATGATGAGGGGTAGGTCCCGCCCAAGGAGGGGTCGATGATGAGGGGTAGGTCCCGCCCAAGGAGGGGTCGATGATGAGGGGTAGGTCCCGCCCAAGGAGGGGTCGATGATGAGGGGTAGGTCCCGCCCAAGGAGGGGTCGATGATGAGGGGTAGGTCCCGCCCAAGGAGGGGTCGATGATGAGGGGTAGGTCCCGCCCAAGGAGGGGTCGATGATGAGGGGTAGGTCCCGCCCAAGGAGGGGTCGATGATGAGGGGTAGGTCCCGCCCAAGGAGGGGTCGATGATGAGGGGTAGGTCCCGCCCAAGGAGGGGTCGATGATGAGGGGTAGGTCCCGCCCAAGGAGGGGTCGATGATGAGGGGTAGGTCCCGCCCAAGGAGGGGTCGATGATGAGGGGTAGGTCCCGCCCAAGGAGGGGTCGATGATGAGGGGTAGGTCCCGCCCAAGGAGGGGTCGATGATGAGGGGTAGGTCCCGCCCAAGGAGGGGTCGATGATGAGGGGTAGGTCCCGCCCAAGGAGGGGTCGATGATGAGGGGTAGGTCCCGCCCAAGGAGGGGTCGATGATGAGGGGTAGGTCCCGCCCAAGGAGGGGTCGATGATGAGGGGTAGGTCCCGCCCAAGGAGGGGTCGATGATGAGGGGTAGGTCCCGCCCAAGGAGGGGTCGATGATGAGGGGTAGGTCCCGCCCAAGGAGGGGTCGATGATGAGGGGTAGGTCCCGCCCAAGGAGGGGTCGATGATGAGGGGTAGGTCCCGCCCAAGGAGGGGTCGATGATGAGGGGTAGGTCCCGCCCAAGGAGGGGTCGATGATGAGGGGTAGGTCCCGCCCAAGGAGGGGTCGATGATGAGGGGTAGGTCCCGCCCAAGGAGGGGTCGATGATGAGGGGTAGGTCCCGCCCAAGGAGGGGTCGATGATGAGGGGTAGGTCCCGCCCAAGGAGGGGTCGATGATGAGGGGTAGGTCCCGCCCAAGGAGGGGTCGATGATGAGGGGTAGGTCCCGCCCAAGGAGGGGTCGATGATGAGGGGTAGGTCCCGCCCAAGGAGGGGTCGATGATGAGGGGTAGGTCCCGCCCAAGGAGGGGTCGATGATGAGGGGTAGGTCCCGCCCAAGGAGGGGTCGATGATGAGGGGTAGGTCCCGCCCAAGGAGGGGTCGATGATGAGGGGTAGGTCCCGCCCAAGGAGGGGTCGATGATGAGGGGTAGGTCCCGCCCAAGGAGGGGTCGATGATGAGGGGTAGGTCCCGCCCAAGGAGGGGTCGATGATGAGGGGTAGGTCCCGCCCAAGGAGGGGTCGATGATGAGGGGTAGGTCCCGCCCAAGGAGGGGTCGATGATGAGGGGTAGGTCCCGCCCAAGGAGGGGTCGATGATGAGGGGTAGGTCCCGCCCAAGGAGGGGTCGATGATGAGGGGTAGGTCCCGCCCAAGGAGGGGTCGATGATGAGGGGTAGGTCCCGCCCAAGGAGGGGTCGATGATGAGGGGTAGGTCCCGCCCAAGGAGGGGTCGATGATGAGGGGTAGGTCCCGCCCAAGGAGGGGTCGATGATGAGGGGTAGGTCCCGCCCAAGGAGGGGTCGATGATGAGGGGTAGGTCCCGCCCAAGGAGGGGTCGATGATGAGGGGTAGGTCCCGCCCAAGGAGGGGTCGATGATGAGGGGTAGGTCCCGCCCAAGGAGGGGTCGATGATGAGGGGTAGGTCCCGCCCAAGGAGGGGTCGATGATGAGGGGTAGGTCCCGCCCAAGGAGGGGTCGATGATGAGGGGTAGGTCCCGCCCAAGGAGGGGTCGATGATGAGGGGTAGGTCCCGCCCAAGGAGGGGTCGATGATGAGGGGTAGGTCCCGCCCAAGGAGGGGTCGATGATGAGGGGTAGGTCCCGCCCAAGGAGGGGTCGATGATGAGGGGTAGGTCCCGCCCAAGGAGGGGTCGATGATGAGGGGTAGGTCCCGCCCAAGGAGGGGTCGATGATGAGGGGTAGGTCCCGCCCAAGGAGGGGTCGATGATGAGGGGTAGGTCCCGCCCAAGGAGGGGTCGATGATGAGGGGTAGGTCCCGCCCAAGGAGGGGTCGATGATGAGGGGTAGGTCCCGCCCAAGGAGGGGTCGATGATGAGGGGTAGGTCCCGCCCAAGGAGGGGTCGATGATGAGGGGTAGGTCCCGCCCAAGGAGGGGTCGATGATGAGGGGTAGGTCCCGCCCAAGGAGGGGAGGATGATGAGGGGGAGGTGCCGCCCAAGGCGGGGTGGATGATGAGGGGTAGGTGCTGCCCAAGAAGGGGTGGATGATGAGATGGAGGGGTGGATTGAGATGGGTAGGTGCCGCCCAAGGAGGGGTGGATGATGAGGGGTAGGTACCGCCCAAGAAGGGGTGGAGGATGAGGGGTAGGTGCCGCCCAAGGAGGGGTGGATGAGGTGTTTGAAACTAGGAGGTTGTGAGCAGACACCTCCCTGACATTTGCTGTATTTCAGGCACAGCGATGTGGGTGCTTTCCATAAATTCATTCATTTGACTTCAACAAAGATTTATTGAGCCTCTATTATGTGTAATCATCACCAGACATAGACCCCTGCCCCGTGGGATGTATGCACTTGTGATATGGAACAGGCCGTGGGACGTAGCCTGGGCACGCTGCCCCGATACGCCCACCCACGTGCCTCGTCGGCTGCCCTCCTCCTGCCCAGAGCTCCACACTCGCCCCCGAACCTCACACCGGGCTCTTGGCAGCCAGCAGGTGCGGGGTCCGAGCTTGTCTGTAGGAGTGTGCACTGGGGCTGACACACCTCACAGGGCACCCACAGGCAGGCAGCCAGGTGTGACCTCTGCAGATTGCCTCTGTCCCTTCACTGCACCCCTGCCCGGCCCCACCTGGGCAGTTTCCTCTGTGGGCAGCTTCTGCGAGCAGCCAGCCGGGAGCCCAGGCCCGCTCCCTAATCTCCCCATCCCTCAGGTCAGCCACACACCTCATCCGGGACAGCCAGGGCCCCCGCTGAGCTGCTCGGGAGGCCCCGGGGAACTTTAACACCCCCCGCCCCCCGCCCCATGCCTCTTCTCTCCCCAGCCACGAAGAATCCACCAAGTACCTCAACTTCTCGGCCCCAGAGGAGGAGGGGAGCAGCGTGGCCCAGCTCAGATACCAGGTGAGTGACGGCGGCTCAAGAGCTGGGGCTGCGGCCCAGGAGCCAGGGAGCAGAGAGGGACGCGGCCTTGGCATGCTTTGCCCTCGCTGCCCTCCGTGCAGGTGAGCAACCCGGGACAGAGGGACCTGCCTGTCAGCATCTACTTCTTGGTGCCTGTGGAGCTGAACCAGGCGGCGGTGTGGACAGAGCTGGAGCTCCTCCACCCCCAGGTACCTGAGGACCGTGTGCGGCTCCCCAATAATGCCCTTTGCCTGGTTTCCCGTGTCCCTCTCGCTCTCTGATGTCCCCTCTGAGACGCCTGCTCTCTGTCTTCCTAGAGCCCATCTATGAACTGCTCTTCAGAGAGAATAGCGCCCACAGAGGCCGACCCCCGGGCCCACATTCAGAAGAATCCCGCGCTGGTGAGGACTGGCTGCCCCCACTTAGGCCACACCTCAGAGGCACACAGGAGTCCGTGTGACCTTCAGAGGGATGTCTGCTGAGCAGCATTCCTGAATTCACATGTGGCTGCTCCTTTAAATCAGACACGTTAGTGCTGTCTGCTGCCTTCACACACACACACACACACGCACACACACACGCACACGCACACTCTGGGCTGATCTACTTCTCTGCCCCTAGGACTGCTCCGCTGCCGCCTGCCAGAGGTTCCGCTGTGACGTCCCCTCCTTCGGCACCCAGGAGGAACTGGACTTCACCCTGAAGGGCAACCTCAGCTTCGGCTGGGTCAGACAGGTGGGTGGGCCCAGCGGCAAGCCCCGCCCCCAGCCTCCGCCTCAGGGGGGCCCTGAATGTCTGTGCCTGGCCTCAGTGGAGAGCAAGGGCATTTCCCTGGCGTGGAGCTTTCCCCAGAGCTAGCTGCCAGCTCTCCTGCCCTTTTGCAGACTCTGCAGAAGAAGGTATCGGTGGTGAGTGTGGCGGGAATCACGTTCGACAGATCCGTGTATGCCCAGCTCCCGGGCCAGGAGGCGTCTCTGAGAGCCCAGGTAGTGACTGTATGCGAGGCAGCAGCCAGGTTGGCGAGCGGCTTCTGATGCTAAATCCGTGTGCCGGGTGGGGGCTCACAAGTTTGGAGGGTGGGGGTGAAGATCCCTGGGGGGAGGGGAGGACAGTTGTCCCTAAGCCCCTGAGGGCTGTTGTGGCTCAGCCCCTGGAGTCTGGCCTGGGGAGGCCAAGGAGGAGGTTAAAGGTTGGAGACGCTGGGAGAAGCCGGGGCAGCCAGAGGCCGATGCTTTCTGATGGGGTCACCTCCTTCCAGATGGAGGTGGTGCTGGAGAAGCAGGAGGTCCACAACCCCGTGCCCCTCATTGTGGGCAGCTCCGTGGGAGGACTGCTGCTGCTGGCGCTCATCACAGCCATACTGTACAAGGTGCGTGCTCGCCTCCTGACCCCCCAGCACATGCTCCCACTGTTCACAGCATAAGACAGCGCTCCCCTTGGAGTCGGCCACGTTCTCACTCAGTCACTGCATGCGAGAGAGCCTCTTCCACCTCTGACATAAGCAGTCCCAGCTGTCCCCCATGTGTGTGTTCCTATCTGTTCTCAGGCTTCCTTTAGTCTCTCTCCCTTTCTTTCCCACTCACCTCTGCCTTTCTACATGTTTCTCTTGACAGCAAATCTATATATATAAAAGCCTAAGCAACCGAACAACCGGTCACTATGACACACACTGACCACCAGGGGGCAGACACTCAATGCGGGAGCTGCCCCCTGGTGGTCAGTGTGCTCCCACAGCAGGAGTGCCGCTCAGACGCAAGGCCCACAGTGGCGTGAGCCCGTGGCATGCACAGTGGGGCCAGGATGAGTGGGAGCAGCAGGCAGGAGTGGCAGGCGGAGTTGGATTGCTGGTTTTGGCCTGATCCCTGCAGGCCATGCTGAGGGATCCCACTGGTGCGTGAATCCATGCACCGGGCCTCTAGTTATAACATGAAAAGCACTGCCCTGGGTTTGATGTGGATACCACCATGGATTCTTTCTGTGATTAGCAAGTGCCTGGTCCACGCTGGGTCTTGTTTCACATTCTACAGGTAATTACCAGCTCACAGAACTGTGGGCCAGTCTGTCACAGTGTGGCCACTGCACTGCTTGAACATCATGGGGGCTCCTGAGTGGCGGTCCCTCCCCTTCCCATCACCTCCTTCCCCCTCTCCCACCGACTCCCTTCCTCTCCTTCCTTCCCTGCAGGTTGGCTTCTTTAAACGTCAGTACAAAGAGATGATGGCGGAAGCAAATGAACAAGCTGCCCCAGAAAATGGGCCACCGGGCCCCCAAGGTGGCCAGTGAGAAACTCCCTCCTGTTCTCTTTGGACTTGCTCTGCCCTGAGAGGCTTCCTGGCCCTTTTACTCGTGCCCGCCAGGCTTGACGGGGAACAAATGTCCCACAGGAGGGAGGCTGGCACCGGCTGCTTTCTCTCTTTGGGGGATGAAGTTTATTTGCACAAAGCATCCTGCCTGGGAAGGGCCATTTGTCTTGTCAAAGCTCCAGATGGAAACACCAGGCAGGATCCCTGCCCTGCTCCCCAGAGCATTTGCCCTGAAATTTCTACCTGGAAATACACGGACCATAGTCCCCAGCTCCATTCTCCCTTCCTCCACTAGCCACCAGTGATCTTGCTAAAACGCAGTATTGTTTTTTTGTGTGTGATTAAAAAAATAAAGAAATTTATTGGGCTGAGGTTGGTTAATAGGATCATGTAGGTTTCAAGGGGTGGCAAGGAGAAGGGGCAGCCCTTCGTGGCTCCTCTTCCCTCTGGAGGGAACCAATACGCAGATTCTGTACAAATCCTGAGAGGTGTTGACACTGTTCGCATGTGACCGGGGAGACTCTGAAGTCCTATATCAGGGACCTGCTGCCTCTGATAAGGTTATTACTGTGCCACTCATCTTGGCATGAAGCTCAGAGTGGTGCCTGGCACTGAGCTGGGAGCCAACACACCCCTGCCCGGGAGAGAGCCCGCTGCTGCTGCCACCACAAGGGTGCTCGGGCCTGAGGACCTTTTAATTGGAAGAAAAGAAGGGGAAGCCGTTGATCATGTGACCTGAGGGAATGCTAGAAAGTGGCCCTTTCCCTCCACCCAATGATACCCTCATCCACCGTCTTCGGGTCCAAACTCCTTTTGTACCTGGAAGCTTTGGAGTCTCCAGAAGGGCCAGTTATCATACAATAGCCTCATGGTGGGCTCCAGGCGAGACTTCACTGGAATCCGGCTTTAGAGTGCTGTTTCTCAAAGTGGGTTCCACAAACCACTAGTGGTCTCCACTGATCTCCTATGTGCCAAGGCTTTTAACTTACTTACTAGAAGCCCAGTGCACAAAAATTTGTGCGCTGGCAGCGGGGGGGGGGGGGGGGGGCGTGTCTCTCATCTCAACATGTGCCCTTTCACAGTCTGGGACCCCTCGGGAGATAAGCACCTGCTGGCTTAGGCCTGGTCCCCTGGTGGCAGATGGTATGCCCGATCCCACGATGCCTTCCCTGTCTCCCCGGTCGCACACGGCAGGCCCAGATTCCGCGCTGGGGTAGGCGGTGGCTCGGGATTGCGCTGCCGCCTGCCCCGGCCCCAGGCCTGGAATTGCACTGCTGCCAGCACAGGGCAGTGCAGCGGGATCTGCCTGCAGTATGCAAATTTAACGGCCATCTTTGTTGGGTTAATTTGCATACTCTTCAGATTGGCTGATGAGCATAGCGAAGGTATGGTCAATTAGCATCTTTGCCTTTTATTAGTGTAGATTTACTTATTTCCTCACCCAAGGAAATGCCTATTGATTTTAGAGCAAAAGGGAGAGAGAGAGAGAGAGAGAGAGAGGGAAACATCAATGTTTATCAGTTGCTTCCTGTATGTGCCCTGACCTGGGATCAAACCTGCAACCTGGGTAAGTGCCCTGACCAGGAATTGAACCCCAACCTTTTGGTGTACAGGGCAATGCTCCAACCAAGCCACCTGGCCAGATCCTAAGTGCTACGTTTGAGAAAGGGAAAAAAAGCAAGAAATGGAGGGTCCAAATGATGGCATAGGAAGACCCTGAGCTCACGTCCCCCAAGGACAGCAAGTCTACAGCTGTGTAGGGATCACTTCCCTCTGAAAAGACCTGGGAAGCAGATGGACTGCTCCTCCATGACAACAGAGAGAAGGACCACATCGCGATGGGAAGGAGAGGCAGAGACATGCTGTTGCCCAAAACACCCCACCCCTGGTGAGGACTCACAGGAGGGTGGAATCGCACCAGTGCCGGGCCTCTATCAGGCTCAGCCCTTGGGACCTACACCAAAGAGACAAAAACTTTTTTGTGACTGCAAAAAAGGACTGCAACAGTCCCTTATCTAACATGCAGGTGGCAGGTGTGATTTTCACATAATTTTCCTTTGTGTGTAACTACTTACATTCATAATATTTGCATTTTCAGGGCTGCTGTTGTATTATATCTCCAACTAACAAAATGGATCAATGGATCAAAATTATTCATTGAAGCATAAAAGTTGTGATAAAAAATAAAACATTGCTGCATCTTAGAATAATGTCATGAAGATTAATTCTGAGTGAGATTCCAGGGTGCGTTTGTACTGGGATGTAGGCATGCAGGGATGAGTGTTTGTGAGCCAGAAAATTACAATAGGTCAGGAAGATATCATATCCTCTGAAAAGTAGTCCCATATCTGTTTGCTCTTAGGCTGTGGTCCTTTAGAAAACTATGTCAAATAGCAGCATGAAGCTAAAAACGTCTTTGTGACCCCTTAGATAAACAACAGAGATTTCTTAGAACTACAACATATTGCTTTCCTACCCAAAATCAATTAATTTTATCATTAAATACACAGGAAACAGAAGAACGGCAGTGGCATAAATCAAAGTTGCTTTTACAGAAATAGCATGTACACGTCACATAATTTCCAAAAAGCTTAAAAACCAGTGGTGAGGTGATATCTGTATTGGAAGCTTGCTCTTTTTCTGCAATTAACAGACTTTAAACAAACAAACGAACAAAAAACAACCTTCACACAAGATGTCCAGAACACCAATAATGAACTATCAGAAAGGAAAACTAAGAAAACAATCCCATTTACAGTTGCATAAAAAAACAAACAAACCCAAAACCTAGGAATAAATTTAACCAGGGACATAAAAGACTTGTACTAAAAAAATTATAAGACACTGAGGAAAGAAACCATGAAGATACCAATAAGTGGAAGCATGTACCGTGTTCATGAATCAGAAGAATGGACATCATTAAAATATCCATACTACCCGAAGCAATGTCAACTTCAACCCAACTCCTATCAGGATACCAATGGTGTGTTTCACAGAACTAGAACAAATATTCCAAAAGTTTATATGGGACCACAAAAAAAAAACCCTGAATAGCTACAGCAATCTTGAGAGAGAAAAAAACAGAAACAAAATTAGAGGAATCACGCTACCTGAAATCCAACTACTCCACAGGGCCACAGTAATCAGAACAGAATGTTACTGGCGTAAAAACAGACAGATATCAATGGAACACAACAGAGAGTCCAAAAATAAACCTACGCCTTTATGGCCAATTAACACTTGACAAAGGAGGCAAGAACAAACAATGGGCAAAGTAAATGGTGTTGGGAAAATTGGACAGATATGTGCAAAAAAGTGAAACCAGACCACCTCTCACACCATACACAAGAATAAACACAACATGGATTAAAGACTTAAAGGTTAGACTAAAACACATAAAAATCCTAGAAGAAAACATAGGCAATAAAATCTCAGACGTTTCTCGTAGCGATATTTTTTCTGATATATCACCTTGGGCAAGGGAAACAAAAGAAAAAATAAACAAATGGGACTACATTAAACTAAAAGGTTTTTGCATAGCAAAGGAAACCATCAATAAAATGAAAAGACATCCCACGGAATGTGAGAACATATTCATCAATGATACATCTGATAAGGGGCCGAGTCAGGACCCTTCAGTCCACAGGCCAACGCAATATCCACTGAGCCAAACTAGCTAGGGC